TGTCATCCTTACTTTACAGAGGAGGATGTGGACACCCAGACACTGAGGTCACTTGCCCACAGTCTCAAGGCTTGGAAAGGAGGAGGAATGCAGGAAGAAATGGGTTTTGATTTTTGGAGGGAGAAATACTTGTGAGTTCTGGGTGAGGGCTCTCAGGGGCCTCAGCAAAGGGACCTCGGGTCATTCTGCATCTTCCTGAGACCTCCTGGGCTCTTGGTAGAGAGGCCCCATCCTGTCTCTGGCAAGCACTGGGCTCCGTCTTTCTTCTGCCTCAGTTCACCCCTGGGCACTAAAGCAACTGTGTTACGGAGTTCCTCATCCACTTGTGCTGTGTGCTTAAGTCTCCCTGTCACTGTGCGCAGCCTGGCCTACTGCTTCTCACTACTGGCTTCACACATTGTTCTTGTGTCCAGCACCTTGTTAAATCTGTATTAGTTCTAATAGTTTCTCTATTGATCCTTGCTTGATTTTTCTAGACAGATGGTTAATCACTGCAAATTGACAATTTTATTATTTTTTCTTTCCACATCCTTCTCTCTTTCTGGAATGGGCTGAACATTCATGTGTTTATCCCCGGTGCCAAGTTCCTAGGTTGAAGCCCTATCCCCCAATGTGATGGTATTTGGAGGTGGAGCCTTTGGGAGGTGATCACATTTAGACAGGGTCATGAGAGTGGAGCCCCCATGATGAGATTGGTGTGCATATAAGAAGAGGCAGTGACAGACCTCTCTGTGTGACCATACACCAAGGAAAGCCAAATCCAGGAGGAAGGCCATGCCCAGGAAGAGGGTCCTCACCCAAAACCTGACCGTGCTGGCACTCAGACCTTAACCTTCCAGGCTCCTGACAGTGAGAAACATATTTCTGTTGTTTAAACTACCCAGTTTGTGGGTAGTAGTATTTAGGGTTAGCAGACGGAATTCACTGAGATGGTCTTATTTCTTTTTCTTTCCATGTCGTGTTCAGGATTTCCAATATATTTTGGATAGTGCTGTTGACAGTGTTACCCTTGTCTTGTTCCTAACTTTAGCAGAATGTACTTACAGAGTCTCCATTAAGAAAAATATTTGCTTCAGGTTTCTTTTGTTGTTATTGTTGCTGCTGCTTTTTTAAAGGTAAGATATAAATAACATAAAATTTGCCATCGTAGGCATTTTTAAGTGTGCAGTTAACTGGTTTAAAAGTTGGGTTGGCCAAAAAGTTTATTTATTTTTTTCTGTAAGGTGGCACTAATAGTGCTCTAGTTGTTTTTAACTAATTTGAAATGATTTTGTTAGATTGTATTGTGATAGCTGTCACATCAGCATGCATTTAAAAAAACTTATCAAAATTGGTGAATTTTTATGTAGCCATTTTAATATTGAAGATAGAAGAAAATATGCAACATTTTTGGCATATTATGCTTTATCATCTCAGAAAGGTAAAAATGCAACTGAAATGCAAACTAAAAATTTATTCTGTGTATGCAGCAGGTGCTATGATTGATTAAATGTGTCAGAAGTAGTTTGCAAAGTTTCGTGCTGGAGATTTTATCACTGGATGATGCTCCACTGTCGGGTAGGCCAGTTGAAGTTGACAGCAATCAAATCGAGACACTAATTGAGAACAATCAACATTCTACCCTGCAGGAGATAGCCGACACACTCAACATATCCAGATCAGGAAAGTTATTGGTGAAAATGAAAGATGTGTCTTTTATGGAAAAACAACATATGGACTTGTTGGTCAACCAATACATTCACATTGTTCTGCAACCACTACCAGCATCAATCCACATAGTTCTTTTCACTTAGTAAAATTAAAACTCCACACCCATTAAACAATTTCTCCCCATCCCCCACCAGTCCCTAGCAACCATTCTACTTTCTGTCTGTATGATTCTAACTTTTCTGGGGAACCTCATATAAGTGGAATTGTACTGTACTTATCTTTCTGTGAATGGCTCATTTCACTCAGTTTGATGTCCTCAAGGTTAATCCATGTTGTAGCATATTGCAGAGTTTTACTCCTTTTTAAGGCTCAATATTATTGTATGTATATGCTGTATTTTGCTTACCCATTCATGTGCTGATGAATAGAGTTTGCTTGCATGTTTTAGCTATTGTGAATAATGTTGATATGAACATGGGTGTACAAACAGCTCTTTGAGACCTTGCTCTCAGTTCTTTTGGTTATATACTTAGAGGTGAAATTGCTGGGTCATATGCTAATTCTATATTTAATTTTTCAAGGAACCTCCATAGTTGTTTCCATAGCAGCTCTACCAACTTACATTTCTACCAATAGTGCATGAGGGTTCCACTTTTCTCCACGTCCTTACCAGCACTTCTTGTTTTCTGTTTGATGGTAGTCATCCTAATGGGTATGACGCGGTATCTCATTGTGGTTTTGATTTACATTTCTCTAATGATTAGAGACACTGAGCATTTTTTCACATGTTTATTGTCCATTTGTATATCTCCTTTGGAAAAATGACTATTCAAGTCCTTTGCCCAGTTTTGCATTAGGTTGTTTTAGCAGCTCTCTGTATATTCTGGACATTAATCCCTTATCAATACATGATTTTTAAATATTTTTGCCCATTTTGTGAGCTGCCTTTTTATTCTTTGGATAGTGTGTTTTGGTACATACATTAGAGTTTTTTTATGATGTCCAATTTGTCTATTTTTTTCTTTTGTTGCCTGTGCCTCTGGTGTCATATCTATAAAATCACTGCCAAATCCAATGTCGCAATGCCTTGTCCTATGCTTTGTTCTAAGAGTTTTATTGTTTTAGGCCTTACATTTGGTCCTTGATCCATTTGAAGTTAATCTTTGTCTATGGTGTTAGGGGAGGGCCCAACTTCATACTTTTACCTGTGGGAATTTAGTTCTTTACCAGACCTCACGAAGCCACATCTTCAACATGTGCAGTGGAGCATCCAGCTGAAGACTCGGAGCGAACCCCGAGGTAAATTTCTGGAGTTCTTTCTGCATAGCGCCCTCTTCACCGATGCTCCGCCCCACGGATTCTCCTCATTGCCGTCGCTCCAGCTCTGATCTCTCCCCCAGTTCAGCAGTATTTTATACTGTGCTTGCATTCTCCTTCCCTGCACCATGATCCAGAAAGTGTGTCCGGCAGAAAGCTGGGAGTGGTTATAGAACATATACTGTTTCCCTCATCCTGGGTGTTTGTGTCAGGAGGAAACCCCAGTACCAGTTACTCCAACACATTTGGAAGCAAAATTCAGTCCATATTTTTTTTCTTTGATAATATCTTCCTCCTTGCTCAGGGTTTCAAACCTTTCTTTTGCTTATTTAAACATTTAAAACATATTTGTTTTATATCGTCTGACAATTTGAATATCCAAAGTCTTGTACGTCTGATTTAACATTTGATATTTGTTTTCATTCACTTTGGCTTACATTTTTAAATTTCGAATTGTGAGCTAATGTTCAACTGGGTTCTCTCTGGGAATCCTATGAAGTCTAGGTGGAGAGTGAGTATCTTCAGAGATTTGTGTTTGTTTCTGCCGAGCATCTGGGGGTGCTACTCGCTGGGTTTCCAGATCTCAAAGATAGCAAGCATATGGACGGGTGGGGCAAAAGTAGGTTTACAATTGTGAGTACATGAAACACAGTTTATTCTTGTAGTATTATTTATTAATTACTGTATTATTGTCACACAAACCACTGTAAACCTACTTTTGCCCCACCCTGTCTATGTGTAAATCCAATGTGTGAAGGCTGACCTGGACAGAGGGGGAACATGCTTCTCCTTGCCTTCCAATTTTTGTGTGTTCTTTGCTCAGACAAGGAGTAGGGGAGAATGCTGGGATGCCCAAGACCCCTAACATACATCAGGACCCCTTAGGTCAAAGGTTGTAGGCTTACGAACATAGCATGTCATTTTGAATCAATTACAAGGGGACAAATGTATAATCCATAAAAAGCCTTTGAATGATACAAATGATAAAAATTGAACCTCAAAAAATTCAGATTAAAAAGCATCTATTACAGAGGGAGCACAGGTTGTGAAGTATAGAGCATGCCACTGAATGCCATCCACAGATCAGGGCCTGTAGACTCTATTCCAGGCTTGGAGAGCAAGGCAGAGCCCCTGGGGTCCTCACCCTGCTGCCGGGAAGCATGGCTCTGGGAGTTGCAGACAAGCAGGGACAGAGCTGGTGTGCTCTCTACCTTTCTCAGCTGCCACCAGGGAGGCGTCAGCACACCGGATGGGCTGCCATCTCTGGCTCCTTGAGGCTGGTAAGGATTCTTCAGACCTGTTAGCTCGGGCACTGAGAGTGGGCTAAATGGGGACATTAACACACAGGGGTTCTGGCTTTCCAGTGCCACCAAAGGATCCCTGGGTGTGGCTTGTCACTGCCTCTTCTGTCCCACTCCATGGCCCTCTCTCTCTCTGTCCACCTGCCCTTTTCTCTCCCTCCTCCCTCATTTCTTCCTTCTCAGCTTCTCCTCCCTCTTCGCCTCCCCTCTCCTTCCTCCTGTTTTCTCCCTTCTCATCATCTGTCACCCCATCTTTCCCTTCATCTCTTCTCCCTCAGCTTCCTGTCTCCCCTCTCCCTCTTCTCTCTCATACCCTGCTTTCCACTTGGGCCAGAACCCAAGCCATTCCCACTCAGTGAAGGAGAGGAGAGCATAGTTTAGTCCCATCACAGATCTCCCCATGGCTAATGTCTCATTTGGCTGGGTCCCCTTGTCAGGTTCGTTTCCTTGGGAGTGGAAGAATCCTGGGCTGACTTCACTGGCCATAGAAAAAGTTCTGGGTCAGAGCAACCAAGTTTCTAAGGACTGGGCCTGTAACAGGGATGCTGGGGGGCCTCTGGCCTTGTAGAGCCAGCCTAGCCCATGGCCTCACCCAGATCCTGGCAGCATGCTTGTTTATTACATAGAGGCTCAGAGAAGGGGGTGGGGGCTGGGGAGGCAGGGCAGGATAGCTGAGTGGGCGAGGGATGAGCCATGTCCAGGCCTGGCACTCTGGTGGTCAAGGGGCCTGCATTACTTCTTGGGGAGCAGTTTCTTCCCATCATTTTGCTTCTTACTGTTCCTCCTGCCTTTGCTGATAGGAGGAAGATCCTCATCAGGATGTGTCGTCCTAAAAATCAAAGTAGAGAGAAGCAAATGTTGGGAAATGGGCAGAGAGGGTTGGTCTGGGCAGTGTCTGAGCCCTGCCCTGGCCAGGCAGAGGTGGGCGTGGCCCTCCACCTTGCACAGCTGAGGTCTTCTGGGTGTTGCTGCAACATGGGGGTCCCAATGGCACCTGTAACTTTTTGAGGTGCTCACAGTTTTGCTTTTGTATCTTCATGAGAAACATGTGATTTCAGAACATGCTCTTGCAGAACATGATTCGCTTCCCAGTGAACATGGCTAAGTTAGTAGACCTGACAGGTCTAGGAAGTTGCTTACAGGGACATAGCCGGTAGTACCCACCCTTCTCAGATAGACAGATGGGTTTGGGCTGTGGGGTTTCTCCACAAAGTTTAAAGGCCTTGGTCTCCACCAACTAGACCACTGCCAGCAGCTCCGAGGAGAGCAGCTGGGCAGCATGTTGATAAAGCAGGCCAGAGGTCAAGGATTGTTGGAGATGAACCATGCCCAGGGGGATGTGACTGCCCAAGGTCCCTTAGCCCTGTGTGGCCTTTGAGAGCCATGTCTATCCTGCTGACCACAGGAGAGTCCCTCAGCCCCAGGCCAGGGAGGCCACTTACTTCTTCTCAGTTTCAGGGGGAGACTCGTCTATCTCGTCCCCAACAGTCAATGAGGAGGTGCTTCCTTGAATGTCATCCATCATTGTTCTCTCAGCTGAGGCTGAGTCAGAGTCATCCAGGGCCAAGATGGAGGTTGAAACGCTGTAGGGAAAGCAGGGAGGGGAGGGCAGTGCTCAGTGGGGGCACAGTCAGAGGGGGCCTGGGCAAGCAGCCCTCACTCAGAGCTGCCCGTTCAATGTTCCAGTTCCTAGAGAAATGGGCTCAGGTGCTTTTCCTGTGGGTAGATGAAGGGAGAACCTGACCCCTTAGGGACCCAGAGACTTACTGCAGTTTGACTTCCCTGGCTTCTTTATTTTATTTTATTTTATTTTATTTTATTTTATTTTATTTATTGTTGTTCTATTACAGTCGTCCCAATTTTTCCCTGTTGCCCTTCCCTGGCCTGCCCATGCCCCACTCCCAGTCAATCTCCACCCTGTTGTCCATGTCCTTGTGTCATTCATACATGTTCATTGATTAGACCCTTCCCCTTCTTTCTCCCCGTATCCCCCACCCCTCCAACAGCAAGTACACCTGTACACTCAGCCTGACCATTAAGTGAGCAAAGGAGAGAGGACAAGAAGCCAAGAAAATAAGTCATCATGTACAGTGTTATGGTTTGTGTCCACCCCAAATCCACATATGGGAGTCCTAACCTGTAGTACCCCAGAAAGTAGGAAATAGGGTCATTGTAGATATAATGAGTTAAGAAGTCATACCAGAGCAGGGTGGGCCTCACTCTAATACAGCTGGCATCCTTATGAAAAAGGGGACGTACAGACACAGACAGGCCCACAGGGGAGGGCCACGTGAGGGTGAGTGGTGCTGCCACAGCCTAGGCGTGAGCAGACACTTGGGTATTGGACTAGATCCTTCCCTATACCCTCAGAGGGAGCTCAGCTTCTGCAGGGGCAAGCCCCAACTCCCTGGAGTGATGCCCAGCTCAAGGCCCATCAGAACTTAACCCTAAACCACCAGCATATTTTTCAAACAGCCCTCTTGGCAGCCCCCACTAAATCCACAGCTATCATGTTCCCTGGTTTGCAAAGCACGCCTTGCCTTTGCCCACCTTAGCCCCTTTTCAGGAGCACCTTTTTCATTTCCCTTTCTGCTGGGCCTTCTACTCATCCTTCAAGGCCAGGTCCCCATGTCACCTCTCTGGGAAGCCTTCCCTGAACTCTCACAGAAGGAGGGATTTCCTCCACTGCTTATAATGGTGCAGGGTTCACAGCTCTATGACTTTGCCTCCAGTCAGCTGAGAAGAGGGTTTGATTTTAGCAACTTGATATGGCTCTCATAGGTATGAGTGAGTAATGAACGAATGAATCAAGTGACAGGGACATCAGAGGAATGCGAGTGACTAGGACAGTGGGGCCACACAGCCTTCTTGCTGGGGTGACAGGAACATTCCTATTCCTGTTGACAGTAGGCCAGGTGCTTCCTTGGAAGAATGATCTAGAGATGGATGCCAAGACCATCCTTTACCAGGGCTAAGTAGAGAAGGCATCTGGGGGGTTGTAACAGGCCAGCCCCTCCAGCAATTTCAAAAACCTTTGTACTCACTTCAGTGAAAGGAAAGTGTCAGCAAATGCTGGCCCTTATCAGACATGGAGCCCACCTCTCTAAGGCATCAAGGTCAGCCCTCTGTGTCAGGCCCTCTCTGGTCTACACTTCAGAAAGGTAACTTCTCCCTACTCAGCCCATCCAGGTTCCCAGTGTAGGAGAGAGCTGGCTTTGAAACCACCTCTATCCATATAGGGTGCTCCTGTGACAAGCTTATGACATCCTGGTTAGTTCTGACCCAGTCCCTTCCAGGTTCATGAGTAAAGACCAGTTCTAATCAAGCTTCTCCTCAGCTTCAGAACCTTTAATGACTCCCCAGTCCCTGTATGATCAAGGCACGAAGCCTCCCACAACATGTTCTTCCCCTGCTTATCCAGTGCCTGCCTATCTGTCAGCAGAGGCCCCTGCTCTGATAGATCTGGCTGGACTCCTACTGAATGGGTGCATAGTGACAGCCTAATGCATGAAAAGCATTACTTCACTCTGGCAGGTTTCTGCTTTCTCCCCTCTGCAAGCTGTCAAGTCTTATCTCACCAACCAGGCCTGGACTATACCTCACATGTCCCTGGGTCCCCTAACAAAGTGGTTTGACCCAGAGCAGGTCAGCAACAGGCTCACAGTGCCACAAAATGGAGCTGAACCAGAGTCTTGCATGAAAACTGCCGTGTCTGGGTAGGGACAGCTGCCTGGGTGTGGAGCTGGGGAGGCAACCTAGGACAGAGAGGGAGGTTCCAGGGCCAGCTCTGCCATTCCCTGTCCCTGTGCACACACAGAGCTCACACTCTCTTCCCAGGGTCTGGTTTGATGCTTCTTTTGTAGGAGCTGTAGAGGTACCTGAGGACAGGGTGAGCAAGGCCTTTGAAGGCAGGCTGTAGGTGGGCTTCCTTGGGTTGAGGGAGGATGCCGGCATGAGCGGCTGGTGAGGGTGGAGTGTCCTGCCTCAGGGCAGCATCACTGCAGGAGGGCCTGGTGGAGGCAGGCTCCTCTCTGGGCACTGGGCCCACTCTTCCCATCTCCATCCTTAGAGGGGTCCTGGCAGGGGCAGCTGAGGTGGGCATAGGCCCCCCGTCACAGCTCCTGACCATACACCCTGAACCTCTCGTCCCTTCCTGCCCCCCATCTCCATTCCCTCTCAGCCTCCTCCTGCCTCTTCTAAGGTGGGCAAGAGGTAGCTGTGTGACCAAGTGGCACAACTGGGAATAGCTTCCCATCATATATGAATGGCACTTCACAGTTTACAAAGCTTATTGAGTATGACATGGGTATTTACATAGTACTCTGCCTTTCCAGTTTGTAATGTACTCTGCACTTAACAGTTTATAAGGTGCTTTGTCATTTATGGAGTGTCTTGTGGTTTACAAAGTTCTTCGAGGGGTATGGGGTACATTGCAGTTTATAAAGCACTTTGCAGAGTTTCCAGTTTACAAAGTTCTTTGGAGCAGGTCCATCTGCCAGTTTAGGTCCAGGACAGTTTATAAGACACTTTTCAGGTTACAGGGCACATCACAGTTTCCCAAGCCCTTGGTGATTTATCAGGCATGTGGCGCTGTACAAAGGACTTTGTTTTGTATGGATTTCATGATAATTTAGAAGGTGCTCTGTAGTTGACCAGGCAGGCATGTTACAGTTTGCAGTGGGCTTTGTGGTTTATAGGGCGCATGGCATTTTGTCATTACAGAGTGCATCATCTCTTACAGTTTTTGATTCTCTCAACTCACCGCTCTAAGAATGCTCCTGAAAGAAGGATGTCCTGAACTCAGAGAGACAATGAGGCCCAGGGAGGGCAAGCGACGCATCTGAAGCCATGTCTGTGGCATGGCCGGACACCCTGCCTCTGCAGAGCGTATCCCTGCCCTCGCTGGCTCCCTGCTGCTCTGTAGGAGGCTCGCCTCCCAGACTTCCACACAGCCCTGCAGCTGGGCTTGGAGTCTACGGCTTCACTCTCCTCTCCCCACGCCCTGTGCTGGGCTCCTAGCCAGCCCAGTGGGCAGCACGGCAAAGGCAGGTCCGGGTGGTGAAATGGCACTGTCAGCAGGATGAGTCTGTCCTCTGTGGCTCCGAGGTGTGGACCAGGCTGTCTCCCTGTCCCCTTCAAGTCCCATATGCACAGAGGTGGCAGGTGGAAAAGCAGAACCCCAGGAGTGGGTCTCTTAAGACTTCCTGGGTTCAGCAAACTGCAGTGAGCAGGGTGGAGGGAAGCAGGGCGGCAGTGAGGTCTTCCTCACCCCCACCCAACCTGCCCCTGCTCCTGGGATGGGCTGCAGCTCAGTGCTTCTCAGGACTCAAAGCACAGACAGCTGAATGGAGAAATGGAGTCAAGCCCAGTGGGATGCAAAGGAAGGACCCCCAGGTTCCATGAAGAGAATGAGTGTGACCAGGACATAGAGGGGCATCACTGGAGCCCCCACAAGGCCCTCCACCAGGCCCAGACTCTGTTGGTGAGGGAGGTGTGTTTGTACCTAGGGAGCTAACCAGGTAGTAGGGGACAGTCTCATCACTCTGTGAATTAACTCTGCCCCTGGGCTATGGAGACCATCTTTCCTAGAGGTCCCAGCCCCCAGGGTGTGTCAAAGGCTCCAGCCCCCTCTGGTCTTGCCACTCCAGGGCATCTTCCAGAGACAGCCAGGGCCCCTTCTCCACAAAGCAGCCCAGGCCTTCCTCCTACTCAAAGCCTCACAGCTCCTGGCCGCACCTGAAAAATGGAGGCTGCCTGGTGAGAATCAGGTGGCCCTATCTGGACTCTAACTAACACAGGCCTTACTCCATCATTCCCTGCCAGGGGCTCCTCCAACACATGGGGGTGCAGGGGTCTCACTGCTCTCTCTGCCTGGCCAGCCCTCCCTGCCCTCTGTCCCCCTCCCTGTGTCACACCGTGCCCTGACCTGGTCCCCACTGTAGCACAGGGTGCCTCTGCTTTCAGGCACGAATCTCAGGGCCTGTAAATGGCATGACTTCTCTTGGCCGTGATGAGGACTCACCGGAACTTTTCTCACCAGAACTTCTTCATGTCCCCAAGCTGAAACCCCATTCCCTTTGAATACTAATTCCACATGGCCCCTCCCTAGCCACTGTAAACCCTCTTTTGCATTTTGTCTTTATACATTTGACTACTCTGGGGACGTCATATAAGTAAAATCATTGAGCATTTGTCTTTTCATGACTAGCTCATCTCACTGATTATAACGGCCTCACGTTTCATCCACATTGGAGCACACTGCAGAAGTCCTTTTCCTTCTAAGGCTGAATAATACTCCATGTTCATGTATACAGACCACCTTTCCTTTATCTACTCACCCATTAATGAACACTTGGGTTGCTTCCACTTCCTGGATATTCTGAAAAGTGCTGTTCTGAACAGGGGTGTACAAATATCTCTTTGATATTTGTGGGCCTGCCAAGGCTGCCCACACCAGCTTCTACTGTGGACTGAGGGTGGAGACCACGGTCCCCATCCCTGCTCCCTCCTCACCTCACTCCTCTTTGGCTCACCAGTGCCCCTTCCATAGTGCCGACTTCTCCCTCCTCTCCACCCATCCTTCCCTGCCCCCATCCTTCCTCAGTCTAAGTTTTTCCTGTTTTACCTAAATTTGTAGTTCTCTGGCAGGAAGCAACCCATCTTGCAGTCCTGTTGAGCCTGAAAGATCTGTTTCAGTAGATTCTGCTTGCTGAAGCCATAGCCATTCAAAACGCTGCCCCCAAAGAGCAGCTTCCCCGAGGCGAACATCTGCTGACAGAAAGGGAGGAAGCAGGGGGAGAGGCCTCAGCACGTCAGCACCGAATCTCAGGACAGTGCACAGGCTCTTAGAGCTTGTGCCAGAATCCAGGCCTTTTTCTGGTGGCTGGGGAAGGGGGGTGCTCTCCCCAAGTCACCCAGTGAGGTGTGGCTAAGCCTGTCCTCTGCCTAGGACCCCCCAAGTCAGAGGCCAGCCTCATTATCCCAACCTCTGCCCACTGCCAGAGGGACCGGCTCACATGTCACTTCATACACAAGCCCTCCCAGAACCATGGGCCAGAAGGGTGCCTTCCTGCTCTAAGGCAGCTAGTCTCAAACCCACTCCGATGCGCGGACCAGCTGGGCCCATGGGCTGAGAGGCCTTTGAGGGCAGGGATCCTGTGCTCCCACCCTCTGCCTGTCAGTCTCCAGCGAGTAGAGACCTGTCCATAGATTTTTGTGCAAGAATATTCTTTAGTGTTATTTGTCATGACAAAAAAAAAAAAAAAAGGAAATAATCTGCAAAGGCCCCACAAAAGCAGGACAGGAGAAAAACTAAAATGACAGATTCTTTCTAACACAGTGGTTAAAAATCAGGTGTTCAAAGGCCAAACACCGAAACATCACCTTGGGCGTGGGCGAGGCCTCCCTTGGCACCGACTGATCAGGTGCAGGCACACCCACGTCGTGTAACAAATGAGGCAACCTAGGTGACATGATGAAGTGATTATATCCCAAACTGTGTTTTCCAAGTTTTCCACAATGAATATACAGGGTGGAGCAAAAGTAGGTTTACAGTTGTGAGTATGAGAAACAGAGTTTATGCTTGTATTATTAGTATATTATTTTTCATGAACAACTGTAAACCCACTTTTGCCCTACCCTATATATATTTTTATAATCCAATGTTTCTAGAAAAAGTAAAAAGTTATTTAAAATAAACAAATACATGGAGAGAATTTGGCTTTCTGGTCAAGCATCCCTTCAGTCTCTCAGGACAGGGGGCACAAAGGGTCAGGCTGGAGACAGGAGGCCGGGCTGGGAGAGAATCCTGCAGGCCCTCCACCTCCCCACTCCCACATCTGTGACTCCGCAAGGGTAGGGACTGTGGAGACTGGGTGGCTGGTAGTTGGTGGTGAGTCCCTGGCTGGGCTCCAGCTCACCAAAACCATCCCTTGCATCACAGCATACTTGGTCACCAGCAAAGGCGGGTCCTTCTGCAGGGGGCTGTCCAGGTCGTACCGCAGTAGGCGGTAGGGGTCACGCCGGCACTGCCAAGAGAATGAGCGCCTGTCAGCCCTGTTCGGAGAGGATGCACCCACTCCCGCATTCTCAGCCAGGCCAGGCTCCCACTGAGCCCAGGAGCCCCATACAACACCCTCTCCCTTTCAACTCCTACTCAAGGGGGCTGTTAGGCCCCTGCATGCCATCTCAGAGAATGTCCCCAGATCCATTTAGGACCCTCTATTGGTGAAAGCTGCCACCGAGATGATTGCCCACCATGTGACATCCACTAGCAGCCTGGCCCTCTGGAGTCTGTGGGACCTTCCTGTTCCCTCTGCCTGAGAGGAACTACGGAGATTTGAAGGTGGGAACCGTGTTCCTGGGTGTACCCATTTCCAGGATTTTCTGCCCCCATCCCTCTGCTGGCTGCCCTTCTGGATACCTCCCTGTCATTAAATCCATTCAGTTCCACTGATTTCAACCCAACTCTCAAGGTCAATCCAGAGTGAAGCTGATCTCTTCCTCCTCCTTGTTTCTGGATGCCATGGATCCATTAACACAGCTAATGTGATACTTTCTGGTTTTATGTACCTTTTATTTCAGTTGCCTCCAGTTGTCCTGCCTAATCTTTCAGTTTAAAATGTGAAATCCAGAGCTGCACCTGGTGCTCTAGCTATCAGAGCTAGAGAACCTTAGGGACCGGTCCTGTCTTAAGGCACTGACTGGTGGAACCAGAGTCAGTGTAAGACACCAGCCTCCAGGTCTGCTCTCTGCTGTCCATCCACCATGGCCTTTGGCCACCTCAAGCCAGGCTCTGTCCCCGTTCAGGCTGCTTGTGGCTGGGCTGCACCACCATGCATTCCTGTGCTTATGGGTAATTATTAGTGAACAATTAATAGCCCTGAAATAAACTAAAGTCAACTCTAAGTTTAAAACATATGTGGCTTTGACGTATGAAACTACAAAATGCCTTCTGAAGTCTGACCAGAAAGGTCCCAACACTAAGCTCCTGGCACTGGCTGGAGTGCAGGTCTGAGGTGGGTATGTCGGGGTCAGGAAGGTGGCACTCCTGGGACAAGGGCTTGAGAGGGTGTCCCCAGGGTGAACACAAAACCTCAGAATTCAGGGCTGCAGCCAAAGGAAGACAGGGAGAAGGCAGTAGGTTTGAGAGGGCACCAGAACAAAGAGGGTTTGAAGGAAGTCAACAAGTGCACACAAAGCTCTTGTGCTCATGCGGCATCTGCTCCATTTGGTTTGGGGACAGGGCCACCCCTGAACTGTGCTAAGGTTGCAGGGATGGCTGCTGACAAGGGATGATGATGAGATTTAGAAACGACTCCGTAGCAAGACGTTTCCATGTGCCCCAGACTGACTGACCCGCAATGAACTGGGACCTCAAGCAGCCTTTCCCCTGTTCACTTTGGCACAGGCCTCTGCCAGAAACACCCACCCACCTGCCAAACCCCTTTCATACTGGGGGCCTCTCCCAGGCCTTTGAGAGGTGTTTCCCTGCTCCCCAGTTCCTACCTGACTGGAGTTGTCCTTCCATAGCCCTCATCGGGGCTTGCTGTACTTACCACCCCATCACGTTGGGATCCCCTCCAGGGCTGTGTCAGTTAACAGTGGAGCACAGAGCCCTGCACAGGACTGACGCATAAGAGGGCCACTGTCTGCACACACTCCTTAGTCCTGAGGATCTAGTAGGGAGTGTGGCTCTGCTACAAATACCCAGGACTTGACCACAAACTGTGGTGAGCGCTCAGGGAAAAAACAACAGGGGTCTGACTTTGTCTCCAGGTCAGAAAAGGTACTAACCATGATGTGGTGACATCCACCCCAGGACAGGAGGATGAGTGGGAGAAAACACTGCGAACAGTAGGAAGAGTGAGTGCAAGGCCCCAAGCAGAAAAGGAAGTGAAAGGCCACGTGCTGAGGTGGAGATGGAACCTCTCAGCCAGGCGCTCAGCCAGGTGCTCGACCAGTCCTAATCCTCCCTGCAGGTCTTCCCCCACCCATTGCCCCACCCTCAGACACTGAGGCCCATTCTGCTGGGCCCAGGACCCACCTGGATGCAGGGTGAGGCCCGGCCCTGCTGCTGGCGACTGTAGAGTGTGTTGAGCAGCCACTGAAGCTGTCCTGTGCTGGTGGATCTCTGGCCCGACACTATCCCGAACACCAGCACCTGGTTGGGGTCCCGGGGCGCTGACAGGAAGCGTTCTAACTCCACGTCAGTTACCAGGGGTGCCTTCACTATGCACTTGCAGCCAGCTCGGATGTCTTCCTTACAGATGAGCTTCCTCAGCACCAAAGGGCAGTCAGATGGTGAGGCTGCCCACCTGGTGGGGCTGCGCACCTCCCGGGCCTTCCCTCTGCAAGAAGGAGCAAGTGGGCAGGGCTCAGCAGACCCTGCTTCCACATGGACAGAGGCCCCGCTGCTGTGGAGTCTAGGCTTCAGGCAGCTCCGGCCTGGCCTCCACCACCAACAGGCAGCACCACCTTCATTGGGTCCCCTAACCTCTCTGGGCCTCCATTTCCTCAGGTGCAAAAGACAAGTGACTCATTCATCCATCCATCCAACAAAAGCTTTGTAGTCATGCTGAACAACTTTCTTTCCCTCATATCCCATATCCTATCCAACATGTCAGCAAGCCTGTTTGCTTTCCATTCAAGAAAGATGCAGAGTCCAATCACTGTTCCTGTCCTCCTACTTCTATTAACATGTCCTGAGACTCCATCATTTCTTGCCTGGATGCCTGCAAGTGCCTCCTAATGGGTCTTTTGCTTTTTCCCCGGCCCCTCTTTAGATTATTCTCTGCCCAGCAGACTGAGGGATCCTGTTAAAATTGTGAGTCACATCATGTCATTACTGTCTTTGAAATCCCCCAGTGGCTTTCCACCTTTCACAGAATAAAAGCCAAGTCCCTACAATTCTCTGGAACAGTATACATGATTGGTCCCCTTTCCTCATCCCTCATATTCTCCAACATCCTCACCTTCGATACCTTCGCTTACTGAGCTCTGGCCATGCTGGCCTCTGCTTATCCTCCACCTTCAGGATCTTTGCTCTCTCCATTCCTTCTGCCGGCTTGGCTCTTCCTCCAGGTAGCCACACAACTCACTTTCTCACCTCCTTTACATCTCTATGCAAATGTCACCTTCTCAGTGACGCTTTCTCTGACTGCCCTATTCAGAATTGCATCCCTTCACCCCTAACACTCTTACCAATTCCCTGCCTCATTTTCTTCCTTAGCATTGCTCATTGTCTAACATATTATATATTTTACTTATTAATTTTGGTAATTGTACTTCTCTATCCTAATAGAACATAAATTCTATGAGTACATGAGTTTGGAATGTTTTGCTTAGTGGAATAAATAGTAGCCCTTGGCAAATAGTAAAGATTCAATAGAGGGCCAATAAATATCCAAACAAGTATTATGAGTCACCTACTATGTGCCAGGCACTATGCAGGGTTGATGCAGGGTTCTGAGGGTTGCTGTATTTAGATAGGAATAAGCACCTACCAAATATAAAGGGTTGTCATGATTTGTATTCTTGTCATTTTTTATAAGAAGATTTTATTTATTTTTAGAGAGAGGGGGAGGGAGGGAGAAAGAGGGGGAGAAAAACCCATGTGTGGCTGCCTCTCATGGGCCCCCTACCAGGGACTTGGCCCACAACCCAGGCATGTGCCCTGACTGGGAATCAAGCCAGAAACCCTTTGGTTCACAGGCTGGCACTCAATCCACTGAGCCACACCAGCCAGGACTATTCTTATCATTTCTATAGCCTTATATTGTGGTTAGCACTTTACAACATCCAAAACTCTTGGCATAGACATTGTCATGGTTGGTTTTGTAATAACCTGTGTGATAGGCTATAAAGAAACTATTATCACTGTTTACAAATCAGGAAACAGAAAGCTTTGACTGGGTTAATTAACTGCCTAAATTCATATAGTAATTAAATGGCAAGGGCCAGGATTAGAATCCGGATCATCCTAAAACAAAAGCAATGCAAAGAATTTACTACTCAGAATTTTCTCTCTCTCTTTTTTTATTGTTATTTAAGTACAGTTGTCTCCACCCCTCACCCCACCTCTGCCACCACTCCCAGAACACCCGCCATCCCCACCTCCCACCCTTGATCCTATCCCCCTTTGGCTTTGTCCATGTGTCCTTTATACATGTTTCTTGACAACCCTTCCCCCATGCGCCCCATTATCCTCTCCCACCTCCCTTCTGGCTACTGTCAGTTTGTTCTTAGCAAGCAAAATATAACTAGAGACTGCTCCGAATTTTTCAGAGGCTATGTAATACTAGTGAGTGAATGCTTGCTAAACAAACTTAAAAATATCTCTTGTTCAAGAGCCTGAACATCTGGGAAGGAAAGCGTTAAATCTATTCATCACAATTTATATACCAAGATAAACCCAAAACGAATTAAGGTTTAAATGTAAAAAGAATCAAGCCATAAAAGTTCTAGTAAAAAATATGGGAGAGTCATTTTGTAATTTCAGAGCAGAAAAGGCCTTTTATAATTATGACCCAAAAGTTCCAAAGTCATGATAGGAAAATATCGATAAATTCAATTACACAAAGAAAAAAACAACAACCCTTCCTCCAAAAAACCCTGAGTGGTAAAACCATACAAGCTAAGACAAACTGGAAAACATGTATGAAACGCCTACCACAGACAAGTGGTTAGATTACCTACTATGTAACGAACTGTAAATGAATTTGAAAATGTTAACAACCCAATAAAATATAGACAAAGGAAGTAAACATGCAATTTACAGAAAATTATATAGAAATTATTTTTAATATAAAAAATAAGGGTGAAGTAGCCAAAAATGACAGAGTAAAGAACTCCAAAACCATATCCCTTCACTAAACCAACAAGTAATCTGGCAAAAATGATCAGAATCAATTTTATAGCACTCTGGAAACTAATGGAAAAGCTTATAACAATCAAGGGATGCTTAGTGAAGAAACAGACTGCTAACTTTTGGTAAGAGAGTATTGTGATATTTTAATTTACCCACCTGCCATCTCCAACTCTCTAGCTTGGTGGCATCTGTGGGGATGGCAGCCCATGTTCCTGGTGGGACTTGCTGGTACCAGAGAGGGTAATATGGATATTGTTCTCAAGGAATTATGGTTGTATAATTTGACATGTCTGGAGGTTCTCTGAAGGATTGGCTCAGGGGCCTTGCCTTTGTTTTGTCCATTCTGGGACTTTCTTAGAGATGGAGCAGCATCTTTGGCAGCATTTGTCAAAAGCATTCAAAGGTAAATGTATCAGATACAGCCTCTTGGTACAAGAGGTAACAGAAGGAGCGCACAGTAGATAGACCAGAAAGCCTGGGAAGAAAGAGGGTGGGGAATAAATACACGACATAATAAAGGCTTTGAAAGGTCCCATGTATACCAGGAAATATAAAGGGTCACAAGCATGTCCAGGGTTGGAACCTTTAGAAAAGGCCTGAGAATACCCTAAGCCTTTACTTCTACCTTACCTCTGGGCTCTGTGCAAGAGGGAAGTGAAAGCTAAAGCAGAGATTAAAGAGCCTGGCTGAGAGCACTGAAGAAGTACTGCAGCACAGAAAATTTCACCTGCAAAGACTGGAAAGGTGTTTTGTTTTTGTTTTTTTGTTCCAGGTATTTAAGGAAGTATCCGTTAAACATCATTAGCTGACCAGTAAGATAAACAAATAGAGACTTTAGTGAGCACATAATAAAGAATGCAGTCTTTATGAAAGTAGTTTAGAAAAGTCACTAAACAAACAATTATAAACTATAAGCAGCAACAACAAACCATGGAGAGAGGGTAGAATTTGATTTCCACACTTACTACATTATAATATTAAAAATGTTCACTTTTCAACAAAAAATTATAGACATGCAAAGAAACAAAAAAGCATGTCTCATTCACAGGAAAAAAGAAATGAATAAAAACAACAACAACAACAAAAAAAAAAACCCATAAAACAAAACCAACTCTCTGCAAGGAAACCCAGATACTGGACTTTCTAGACAAAGATTTTTTGTCACCTATCTTAATTGTGTTCAATGTGCCAAAGGAAACTAAGGACAAATAACTAAAACAAACCAGGAGAACAATGCCCCATTAGATAGGGAGTTCAATAAAGAGATAAAAATTGTAAAAATAACCAACCAGAAATTCTAAACTTGAAAAGTACTATAAATGGAGGGGAGAGCTGAGTGGATGGGTTGGGATAGGAGTAAAAGAAAATTGTACTGCAATAACAATTAAAATAAAATAAAGAAAAGTACCATAAATGAAATGAAAATGCAACATGAGATCTGAACAGGCAGAAAAAAGAATCAGCAAACTTAAAGATAGGGCAATTTAGATTACTGAGTTTGAGGAGAAGAAACTAAAATGAATGAAAAAATTAACAGAACCTAAGATACCTGTGGGACACAATCAGGAATACCAACATACACATAATGGGAATTACAGGACAAGAGAGAAAGAAGCAGAAAGAATATTTGAAAAAATAATTGCCGAAAGCTTTCTGAACTTGAGATTTCTCCAAGAAGCTCAACAAGTTCTAAGTAGGATGAATTCAAAGTGATCCACACCAAGACACATTAAAATAAAATTGTTGAAAGACAAAGACAAATAGAATTTTGAAAGCAACAAGAAAAAAGAGACTCATCACACACAAGGGATCCTTAATAAGATTAACAGCCAATCTTTCATCAAAAATCATGAAGGCCAAAAGGCATTGAAATAACATATTTAAAGTGCTGGAAGAAAAAAAATATATATATATCAGCAAAGATTTCTATGCCGAGCAAATTTAGCCTTCAAAAATGAAAGGGAAATCAAGACATTCCCAGGTAAACAAAAGCTGAGAGAGTTTGTCATTATTAGGCCTACCCCACAAGAAATGCTAAAAAGAGTCCTTTAGATTAAAATGGAAGAATACTGGGCAGTAACTTGAAACTACACGCACACAGCACACACACACACACACACAAAAGAGGAAATTTATAGGAATTTGTTCACATGCTTATAGAAGCCATAAAGTCCCACAGTCTGCTGTCTGCAAGCTGGAAAACTAGGAAAGCCAGTGGTATAATTCAATCTCAGTCCAAAGACCTGAGAATGGGGGGATCAGCGGTTGGGGGCGGGGTGGATAATTGGATATTCCACAGGCAAAGGCAAAAGGCTTAAGAACCAGGAGGCCGTTGTGTTGGTGCTGAAGTCTAAAGGCCCAAGACCAGGAGCTCGAATGAACTTCCCAGCTCAGGAAGAGAAAAAGGAGGTGTGGGTGGTGTAGAAGAAGGTAAATGGGAGCTAAATGGTGACAGAAAGAGACTTGACTCTGGATGGTGAA